AAAGCTAGAAATATTAAAGTTAAGTAACATCTGCTATAAAGGATACTTAACAATTAATGAATGAGGCTGAGTATCTTATAAAGCATTATGGAGATCGAGGAGGGTGTTATCCGTTGAGGCCGTAGGCCGAGGCGGATAACACCCTCCGAGATCTCCATAATTCTTCATATGAAACAAAAGCCGAATTCAATAATTGTTTTATTATTCATTCAAAATAATTCCTAGTTTACATCCTGTACAAACATAGCTAAAACAAGCTTACCTGCATCGATGTTAAGTTTATCTTCGATAGTTTACGTTTAGGTTTGTCCAGCTCCCCAAATATTCTCCAAATAGCAGAAGTCGCCCTCCAAGTTGTCTTCTTGCTGTTTTTGTTATGTTTTAAGCCGTTATTTTGCCTAGTCCAGCTGTAGTTCTTACTCTTGAAACGAGTGAATTGTCCGCCATTTTAGTTTTCACAATGAAAACAACTCAATCTCGTCCCCAGGTCTTCTCGGTTAACGGTGCATTAACCTCTAGAAGGCTGCATGTTTGACGTCATTTCCACGTTAAACACAAAATTCTTCCAAATTTGGTCATCAGCAACTGGTTATGGTGAATTATGCGTGTGCTTTTAGCCAATCAGAATTGGGGAAATATTATGAATGAATAATAATACCTTATAATGGGCCCCTAATCATTTACTGCAGCTGCTCCAAAGATATGGAACGTCTTTCCGGACTACATTAAGAAAGGGACGAATGTCGATAAGTTGTAGAAAAGCGTACAGCGACTAGGTTGAGTTATCAGAGGTTCTTTTACTTTCAACTTTTATTTCCTTTTTTCTTTATCTTTTGCTCGTTTTTAGAAATGCTAAATTATTGATGTAGCAATTTGAAAGTTTCAATAATTTCAGTTATTAGAGCGGGTAGCATAATATAGGCTATGTGAGTCTCATTTTTGTGTATGCACATTTCATCAGATCACTATGTTAAAATGCGCTGTAGAAGTATTAATTATTATTATTATTGTTATTATTACTTGTGTAATGTGATCTTGGATTGTCCACTTAAATGTATGCTCTATATGGGAGTATGTCACTGCTTTCTTTGCAAGGTTACAATTCACCACATAACCTCTTTGATGCTCTGATCATTATCATCATCATCATCATCATCATCATCATCGTTATCATCAGCATCATCATCATTATTTATTCGCATCATTATCATCATCAGTAATATCATAATCATTTGATAAGGATCAGGGGTATACTACATGTTGAACCAAAATGTACGTTTCTGAGTAAAACCTCAATTTTCTAAATTGGGTCACTTGACATTGAGCGTGCCCTGGTGACGTCATTGCCAGATTTGGCATCAAACGGTCCAAATTTTGTCACATATAAGTGCGCGCATTTTTTGAAATTACAGATTGAAAACTTTTCCCTAGCACCTGCTTCAAAATTAAAGACACAATAATAAACTCCCTTAGACCAACATTATAAAGACAATTATGATCTCTTGCTTAAACCTATTCTCTTTCTTTTCTTTCTTTAAATCCTTAAAGTTGAAAATATAAATAAGGCAAGTATTTCGCTTTCCTCTTAATAGATCATTACGCCCTCAGCGGTGCTAAGCGCGTTATGAGATACGAGGGCAACAAATGTTGGGTAGTTTTGGCTTCTATGTGATGCCTTTTTTGTGTTTTTGTTAAGGTGCAAAGAAGAGAAAGAAGAAGTCGGGAAGTGGCTGTCGACTTTGTAGATGTCAATAATAAATATTCACATTCATTTTTGTAATTAGGAAAATTAGAGTTTTCGTAGCCTTTTACTGTATGAATTTTTGCTCAAGAGTCCTCTCTTGTATAAGAGCAGAAGGCCATCAAAGGGGATCTTTATCTTTCGCTGAGATAACAGAGCTTAGATCCGCATGCTGATCATTTCTGGATTCGAAGATAAGCAACCAAAGACTTGCTTTCTATCATTTAGTAAGAATATTTTTAAGGTAGCACATGCAAAATCCACTTTGTAGTAACCACCGGGAAATGATAAACAAAGAGAACAAGATTTCCCTTCCACATTGACAATTGCTGGATACGTCAAATTGTCAAACCTTTCTTGTGAATTGCCAAACTGGATTTTTAACAGCACGTAAATGATGGAGAAGGATAATGTTTTAATGTAAATAATGCATGGTCTGAGGAGATCGCACGCTCCTTTTTTCTGTGAAATTTTGCAATTTTTTCTTGAAGAATCTCAGTAATATATAGTTTGCAAGTGTCCAGCAGATCATCCCCCCCCCACCACTTTCTGAAATTTTCTATACCTCCGTGTAATAGAATAGAATAGAATAGAATAGAATAGAATAGAATAGAATAGAATAGAAACTTTATTAAAGTGTCAAAAACCGTCTAGCCGGGGAAAAAAATCCCTTACTAATTTGGGGACACCAATATGTAATGTTCTTAAGCTTTCAGTTTTTGTTAGTATATTGTTGAAGTTGTTCATTTAAAACTCCATTTGCTTAATAGATTTACTAATAATCTTGTAAACTTAAGACCACACAATTTTCAGCATGAGGTCTTATAGATCCTCAAGGGACTGTCTACCATAATGTTGTGAAGAATTTTCTAGGTTGTTATGAAGATTTTTGTCATGTGGTATTTACTTAGCTGATTTTATGTTTGCACTTAAAGATTCACCCGTGCTTAGCAAGAGTCTCGTTATAATTAGGCTTATATATCAAGGTTAATCCTTATGGTATAGACAGGTTTTGGGATTTTATTATCTTATAACGGTTTTTTTGTAACATATTAGTGTGATTTATTAAATTTGATTGTCAGTCCTTGAAGTGAGCACGTTTTTGGGTTATAGCTGACTATGTTTGTTACCAACATCAGAGTTCCTGTTTTGGTTTAAGTTAGAGCCTCGTTGGTTTAGTTTTTAGGAAGTGCGTTCATAACTGTCATGGTCAGCAAGAAAAAAGAAAGCACTTTGATTGTCAATGCATTTAGCACGAAAGTACTAATTGGGGACACTATTTTGGCTCCAACTGGAGACTATCCTCGGATACCTAAGGTCGGTCAGTTGAGTCGGAAAAAACTACAGTGGCCAATAATAACGGTGGCCAATAATAGACCCAATCTTAGTCACTTTTGAGCAAGTGAAATTTTCTCGATCCCACCATAGTTAATGCGATGTTACACGGAACGATTCGCAACAACGAGTTTTAGCGCAACACAGCATTACAACATTGTTGCGACATTATTTTGAATGGTCGCAACATTGTTCCAACATTGCTACGCTGTGTTGCGCTAAACATCATCGTTGCGAATCGTCCCGTGTAACATCACCTTTTCTTTCTATTTATGTATCTACAGTACTTTATAATGAATAAAGAATACTTCACTTTTCACCTACAGTACAAACATTCTGGTACGTTTGCTAACCGTAAATGTGAAGAACGTTTTTTACCCCCAAAATCCGAAAATGTGCGACCCCATTTTAGTAAAACTCCAATGAAAATGCGACCCCATTATAGTCAATCCAGAGGTGAAAATGCGACCCCACCCAGCGGCGCATCCCCATTAGCCTCTTATAAGGAAGTACCTCCCCCCCGGAATGACCTATACCCGCGGACTGAGAAAGTACATTTCTGTCATTAGATTCCCTCTGATAATAAAAAATACTTTTCTGTTCTGAAAATGGAACACCTGCCTCCTTTTCCACTCGCGCCCTGCCATTCGGCTCCGTTTTCTCGTCGCCATATTGGAAAACGAAAAAAACCTGTCAGGGAAGTGTCAGGGGACAAACCTAGAATCCCTGGAATCCCTAAATAACATCTACCCCAGGCCTTCCTACAGTGTTGTTTGGAAAGAAAAAAAAATAACTCATAAGAATTCTCCACTTTTAAAATTCGCTCTCCCTTTATAATAGTAAATTCAACATGGTTTCCAAAAAAGCTGGCACAATCCCAGAGGGGGAGGGGGTGGGACTCAACAAGTTTTATACGGGGAGGCTTTGCCCCTACCTTTAACCCCTTGCCCCTTTATAAACCATTTATCACGAAAAAGGTTCCCTTTTCATTTACCTTGTATTGACAAATGGTACCCCTTTCTTCTACCAAGTTTATTAGAACTTTTCATCCCTTTAAACTGCTGTGAATGCAATCTCTTTTAAAATGAATCAACCACAAAATCAGAACTTTATTGGACTTCTTAGCGCAATAAATTTATCTTTTAGCCCTTTTGGGCCTTTTTACAGATCAAAATAACAGATTTCCCTACCCTTTCATTTACTTCAACCAGTGAAATCCCTGTACTTTTTCATATACTTGAAGCAGTAGACCTTAAGGGCGGAGCCTCCGGCGTGGTATAGGGCCATTATATAGGGAGTATCCCCCTCCCCGGGGTCACAACATCCTCGGAGACTCAGGGGCAGATAGTGGGGGCGAGGGAAAGTCTAAACGAGCGAGAAAATATGGCACGAAGAAACTCGCCGTTCCTTACTTTTCTTCGTGCCATATTTTCCCGCCCGTTTAGACTTTCCCTCGCACCCGCTATATTCCCCTGGGTCTCCGAGGATGGGGTCACAATAGCTCTCTCCTTAAAAAAAAAAAAATTGAAGAATGTTTCTTCCCGGCATTTTCAGTTTGTTAGAACGGTCTTTGAGTGCAAGATAATTCGGGCAGTCTTCTTGATTCTTAATTAAAGACCCCCATCGGGCTAAAAACACAAAAGTGAAAACTTTTACGTACCTCCAGGCTTTTTGCCATCCGGGATAAATGTGCCCCCACACACCAACGCCCAAATGCTCTTGTACCCTCGCCGCTTTAAACATCGATTTCTTAGCAGAACAAATGTTGAACGAAAGATATTCGGCAGGGTATCAGGCTCCAGTGGTCGGTCTTTTCGCTCCGCTTTCCCCGCCCCTCCCCTGCTAACAAGCACCTGAAAAACGAGTGACCTTGGGTGACCTAAGTCCTGATTTCTGCTCGGTGCACCTTGGTCGCTGTCGGTACATGATGGCGAATCAAGTGATTAGGGCTCTGTTCGTATACAGTTTGGCTTTGTTTTATGGTTTTATGGTATGTTTTTTTCTGTTGGTGAGTGCTATTAGGAAACTTGAAATACCGAGAAGAGGAAAGCGACGAGAAAAACGTAAGTAACGATCGGTAAATTTGCACCGGTGCAAACTTGGCCTGGTCGATTCCTTTGTCTGTTGTGCTTTGTATCTTTAGTTAATTCGGTCATCTTTTTGCGTTTAATGGTGCCCACTACAGCAGGGACTCTTCTTAGCTTTACATCAATTAATGACCCTCAATGAGAAAGCTGGCAAAATTGCTTTCCCATCCAGAGCATGTACTATTTTTAAAGCGGCACGTAGAGAAGAAAGCGAACTGTTAGCTAAGCTAAAGCTTATGCATGTAAGCTCACTTTGGGCGACTACAAACTGGTTTTCATAATGACCGTAAAAACCCATGTCATTATTTTTCTCTGCGATGGTTAGTTAATGGTTATTTTATATTTTTAATACCATTCTTTGTTTTCGATTCATTGACTGCCCAAAGAACTGCTATGATATATCACAGGAAAAAATAACGGATTCCCATTTTTGGATACTTTAGGGTATTTAAAGAATACCCATAAAAATCCCAAATTTGGCAAAGTGAGACAAGTCCCAACCAGGGAATTCCCAACCAAGTTCCCTGATTGGGACTTGTCTCACTCTTCCAAATTTGGGATTTTTCTGGGTATTCTTTATATACCCTAAAATACCCAAAAATGGGAATCCGTTATTTTTTCCTGTGGCATGAAGGATGCCATCTAAATAAACAAATCAAACAAGTAATAACACAAGTGAAATACTTTTTTACTGTTGGGAGATGCGTAACCGTGAAGTGTTATTCCCTGTATTTGTACAGTGACTTCTACTATTGCAGGATAAGGCGCCAGTCAATTATATATGAATTATTTATTTATTTATTTTTTCTTTTTAACCGTAAATATTTGATTTTATTGCTGTACATATATATCTTTTTATTTCATAGGTTGCCCAATTAGCTTCATAGCTAAAGTACCAGACACTTAAATAGAGTTTATTCTCATTATTTTTATTATTATTATTATTATTATTATATTATTATTCATTAATGAAATCTTCATGGGGGTCATGTGCTTGACCTGGCTTGACTGTTAAAGAGATGATATTTTCATTTCTCTACAGCTCCTTTGTGCCTTCTTGACCCTGAGCTTGGTGAACACCATTTCCTGAGAACAGCATCAAATATCAGGATCCATTATGTTGCTAAAGGAGACACAGGCAAACCACTTATGCTGTGTATACATGGGTTCCCTGAGGTAATGTACACCCATTTTTGCTACTGTTTTATTATTTTTACTGTCATTGCAGCAGATGTGTTTGTAAACCAAACTCATTAAAAAGTTTAAATCATCCTGCCATCTGGATCTAGAAGTACAAGGGTTTGTTATTTGATCATTAAATTTTATTAATGAAGTTTACCATACCCTAAGAGAAGCAAAAAACGCATTGAGAGGACTCACTCCAAAATATCATAAATGAAAAAAAATTAGAATAGAAATAGTAATTAGTCAAAAGCAGCAGCAAAACAAAGAAGATATTTAAGGAATGCTAACAAATGGAACTTACATATTTAGGTATTTTAAGGTATCATCCAGGGTAAAAACCCATCATTTTTGGGCAGCACTAAAACACGGAATCCGGAATCCGGAAACGGAAACAGAAACGGAAACGGAATACGGAATCAAATATCAATGATAGAAAATTAAAGAAATTCATATTACACAACTTAGTACAATCCATTTGTCTTAGTTTTCTTGGCAGTTCCCTTAAATATATTCTTGTTATTGCGTCTTGATAAGGTTTGCCGTAGTGTGGGTTACTGCACTGCAAGGCCGATGAAAGTAATTTTACGGGTAATTATTATTTACGAGTTCATGGGTTGAATAATACAGTTAAATATTACTTTTGTAGCTAATTGTCAAGAATAGTAGTAGTTAGCTTCAGACCACACCACGTGACTGTCCCCAAACTGAATACTCCACACATGACCGACCGGTGACGTGACCACAGTTTCGGTGTTTTAGCAATAAGTTTAACTTTTTGGCCAAGCTGAATACTGATGGCATACTGGTTTACCGGTAATTGAGTTTATGTGGACGTCCGTATTTTTGTTGAAGAGGCTTATTAAACATGGCGCATTATTTTGATGTAATCGGTTGTGGAAGCAAGCAAATGCATGCACAATTCTCTCTTCTCTTTGGACTCCACAATAACATGGTTATCTTGAGTAAAATGTCTTGATAAATAAAACTGAACACTGTTGAAGACAACCCAGAAAAGACACTAAGAAAAACTTGACAGCGACGACTTTCAGTTATATAAACGACGCCTCTGACTATTCAAACGAAGTCTGTCTCCATATAACTTACCTTTTTCTTAGGGCACTAGTTTTTGTCAGTAATGTTTTTCTCCTCGCTTTGCTGTCCCATGAGAATTTGCATTCATTGCCGATAGTGGTATCAAGCGTCTTTTCACTGGAATCGACTCCTCTAGTGATACAGCAGGTCTCAGCTAATTTATTCATTTGTGTCTTTTTTTTTGTCTGTTTATTAATTTTATTGTCATTATATTTTTTTTTCAAATCGGTCGCTTGGAACCTTCTCTCACAGATTTCGTATTCTGTTTCCGTTTCCATGAGTCCGTTTCCGTTTCCAGATTTGCCGTCATTTTTCGAAATTTTCAATTTTTAGATGATTAAGTAGAGCTCATCAAGAGCTTTCTTTTAAAAAAAATTCCAGAAAAAAATGTTTTTTCTGTGCAGACTTATGGAGCGCAAAAGTTTTTTCTATGCTAATTATTTTAATTGATCGTTGACAAGTCCTGTCATAGCTAATCATGCAATTTGACAGAAATCGTGGTCTACAAGTATAGTGCTCACAGTCTTTCCCTGGATTTTGGAAGTGAATGCCTCCAAAGAAGGAAAAAGAGCTTGTCCATTTTCGTCCTTGACTACAAGACGAAAGAAGACGACAAAATCGTTTTGCAAAGTGTGGGTTTCGAAATTAGCAGAGAGTGACTGCTACTAGGGCTCCTACTACAATCAAGAAAAATGGCTAAAAGATGACAAAGCTTCTGAAAAACCCATTGAAACTACCGCGAAATCGAGATTCACGAGTTTCTTAGCAAGCGGAGCGAGCTTTTTAGGTTGCGAAGCGGCCAAGCAAGCGACAAATTCGCGACCGGTCCCGCGCCATATAAATATCGGACGAAGGACTTTTTTGAAAGTCTATTGTAGCGGGAGAGCAGCTTCAAGAAAAACTCCAGGAAGCGGTTTGTTGTCGATTTTTCCAGGGAAGTGTCGAACTTTTAGAAAATGTATCGAGTAAAAGTTGGCTTGGCTCAAAATGAAAACTGCTCGTCGCAAATAACTAAAGATGCTTTCTTGACAACAGAAGGATCGAAGAGAGCAGAGCACTCGAAATAAATTGTTCATCCGTTGTTGGGTTTCGTTTGTAACCTTTTCCTGCTGTGTCACTATTGTTGTCCCTTTTCTGGTATGCATCGACATTGACAGCTTTGGTGTTATAATCTGTTATAATCTCGTCACGGGCAATACGCCGCCAAAAATCTTTTTCCCCTGTCTTGAAATGAAAATCAGAGCAAGTTGAGGGTACGTTTTAAACTCCAAGTCGGCAACCCGTGAACCAATTTGGCTGAAATTTGGCCAACTTACTGTCAGATAGTTTTTCTAAAAAACTGTGTCTGCGAATTTTGATTTCTTTTTTCGTTTTCAAGTAAGAGTATTTTTTTCACAGGTAGTGCTAATGATTTGCTATCCCTAAGTTCAACTGCTTATAACAAAAGAACAAAACCACTTGACAAAAATCTGAGACACGGTTTTTTAGTCAAACGTGTTAAGAAGCGAATGCGATCTTAATTGGCTTCTTCCGTTTATTTTTGGCTGGCCTGGACTTAAATTTACAGCGACACCCACTTTCACGAAAAGCTTCTCATTTCTGAATCGCGTTAATATTTTGATTTTTTAAAAGGAATAAGCCGCAATAATCTGGAACTATTAAGCTTTCAGAAAATGTACGGTTTATGGGGGTATTTATTAAAAGCAAAAGCGCTAGCGCCGATCAACGCGGGGAGGGTGCTTAAGGGTGGATGATACCTTAAAATATCTTCAATTCAGATATAAAAGACTGGACATGACAAAATAAATCATTATTTTGCTCCGGAGACAGTAATTATAATTTGTGCTTTAGACACAGAAGACCACCTGTTAGTAAGGGCTAACAAGGGTAAACATGCAAATAAAAGTTGCCTGATGATTGCTTCACAAGAGGCATGAAACTTTGAGTAGCAATAAATGTTCAAAATTTAATCCAGTTCCATCAGTCTAGTTGCAAGTATATTTTGTAATTTATCAGCAGATGTAGTGCCATTTTTCATGGACATACTGTTAATAAACCATTATTATTATTATTGTTATTATTATTATTATTATTATTATTATTATTATTATTATTATTATTATTATTATCCCTACACGTAAGAATATGGCAAGATGGGGATTATCACAAAGTCCTGATTGCTCCTTTTGCCTTAATCCCGAATCACTCCCTCATGTTGTCGCTGGTTGTCAACAGTACCTTGATCGCTTTACCTGGAGACACGACTCAATCCTTAACTTCTTTGCCAAGTCACTTCAACCTGTAATTAATGTTCACTCTTCACTCTATGCAGATGTTAATGGTTTTCTGAATCCCTCAATATTAACTGGTGAAAATTATCGTCCAGATCTTCTTTTCCTAATCCAGTCTAGATGCCTATATGTTCTAGGATTAACAGTTGGTTTCGAGTCTAACCATAACAACAATGCAGTGCGTAAGAAAGAAAAATATCTGAACTTGATCAACGAAATGAGTAGAAAGTACAGATGTGTGAGATTTGTAAATCTCTCCATGAGTTCCCTTGGTGTTTTCTCCGATGAATGCTCCACGTTCTTAGACATGATGAATGACATTTGCATTGACAAAAAGCAGCAACGTTATATAATCAAGAAAATGATAAATATAGCGATTAGAGCAACATATTACATCTTTTGTTGTAGAAATAGGAACTGGGATAGCCCAGACGTAATGCAATTTTGATTTTGTTTTTGGCTTTTGTTTTGTTTTGTTTAATTGTTTTTGTTTTTGTTTGTTTGCTGTTTTCTTTTTAATAATCCAATCTCAAGCAGTATTTCTAAATTGCCTATACGTAGCGAGATTTACAATTGTACATTCAAAAATACAAATACAGTTTCCATTATTATTAATACAAAGAAGTTAAATATATAATAATGAGTAACTTAGAAAATAATTATTATGCATTGAAAACCACTGACGCTGTTTTAAAATCACTTTGCAGTTTTGGTATTCCTGGCGATATCAGCTGAAAGCTTTTAGTGATAATTTCAGGATGGTTGCTGTAGATTTGAGGTACTGTAAAAAGTATATAATGATTTGTAAAATACAAATTGCAAGTAGCCAAACTGTATTATGCACAGCTGCTACAACTGTAAAACATATCTGAGTAATTAAGTTACACAACAAAATGTGGCATTTTTGTCCAGTTGGCTAACTTATTTTTGGCATCCTTGAGACTGACTGAAATTATAGCTCAGTCACATGGTAATTTAATTCAAAACTGTTGAATATGCCCATCCCCTATCCCATTCTCAGCAGTTTTTTTTGATTTCATGAAAAACAAAATTAAAGCATTTTTAAAAAGCTCAATCTTACAGCAGTATTTTGTATTTAAGGGGCTATGGTGAAAGTGACAGTCCTAAAGGGCGAGAACACTACAAGACGTCATTATTGGTTAACGACATTAAAGAAATTGTAAGTGTACTTACATGTATTGCTGAAACAGCAGATTGAGTGAAGAAAATATAAAAATGTTTAATCCTCTTTATTATATAGGCACGAATGTTTTACTGGAAAATAATTATACCACTCGTAAAATTCATAAAAACTACATCCGGTACCCGAGTGGTGTATTTTCCATAATCTCACACGTGAGTGTATCGCTAACGTAATTTCGGTTATTTTCCTTCAAAATTTGTAGGCGTCTTGCGTCTTTTGAATTTTACTCACACATTTTTCAAAGTTTTGCTTATATTTTGTCATTGTAGAGCCCTATTCAGCTCAGTGTTATTTCTCAAGATTATTGTAACCAATGTCTTATATTGCTGTACTGTAAATGTGAGCCGTCACAATTACTTTGTGGTGAATAAAAATCTATTATTTTATCGATGTCTTTTTGTCTATATAATAAAAAGAACATTACACGGGGGCTTGAAGATATGAATTTTATTTTCTCGTTGCAAAAACAATATTTTACTCACTCTGTGACTCTGCTCGTTTGTAAAATATATTGTTTTGCCACTCGAAAATAAAATTCATATCTTCGCACCACCGTGTAATATCCTCTATGAATGCACCTCGTAAACTTTGTTATAAAATATTTTGTAGATTCAAAGGACACTTTTAAATTAAACATCATAGTCTAGAGGATTTTGTAAAAAGATCACAAATGCAAAAAAAAACAAAACAAAACAAAACAAAACAAAAATTAAATAAATAAGAATAATAAAATTTTTTCTTCAATGTCTGTACAGCTTTGAGTACATGTTGTCCAATCCAGAAATAGGGGCTATAGTATTTTATATTATATTGTGTTGCAAAGGAGGTCATCAGAGTTTTCTTGCAGCTGGTAAAACAAAATTTTTATTTTTTTTTATATCAATACCTGTAATGTATCTAGGATTGATAATGTGAGCTCAGAAAAGATATTAATACAATTTATTAATTTATTTACAGATTGAGGCACTTGATTACAAATCTTGCACTTTGCTGAGTCATGACTGGGGTGGAGCTTTGGCATGGTAAGGTGGCCACTGCACCATTATAAACTCACAGACACTTGTCCATTAGACAGAAGTTATCAAGCCAATTCCTCTAACTCATGCTTGTGGATGCCATCTTTCTCAGTGACAGTAATGACCCTTCTTGAGAAGTGTTGATATAACCTGTCAATTCTGAGCAAACAGAAGGTATACCAGGAGCTGGTATACCAGAACAAGTCTTGTAAACAAATGATTACAGGCTCTGCCGCCCTTCCCCACCCCAGTTTCCTTCTGTTTTATTTTCGCGTTCGTGTGCATTTTGTGATTTCCAGACCAAGCAGCTGTGAAGGAGACTAACATAGCCATGTGAAAGATGCTTTTTCCTCTGTTGAGAACATGTGTCATTTTAAAGAAGAAACCCTCGTAACCCAGATTGTTGGGGTCAGGGTTGTTGAGTCAGTCCCCTCTTCTCTTGTGCTGACCAATTCAACTGACTAAAACCAAAGGAGTGTCTTATTAATTTGATAAATCTGTCTGTGTGTGTTTTAACCTCAGGTCTTTTGCACACATGTATCCAGAGTTTGTAGACAAATTGATATTTTGCAACATCCCACACCCAAGGTTAGTTCTAGCACCCACCACCTCCCTTATTTGTTATATACAGTCATTTTTACAGTCACCCACCTAATTTGGACACCTCAGCATTACAGACAGTTTGCTTTGTCCCTGGGGAAAGAAAGTCCTAACATTTCCTTCAAATTCACCCCCATAAAATGGACACCCTGTTATTAAATATGAACACTTTCTGTGACCCTTCAGTCTCCTGGATATTATCGGGATTTGATTGTGTAGACAGCATGAACTATACTGCTATATACTGGGTTTCCTGTTTCACTAATTCTCAGAAAGTAAAAAAATTATGAACTTAGTTTCCACCAAGTAAAACTCTACAACTGTACGTAACTCCATAAACACTGCTTCCGTCACGCATGACTACACACGCCAAACGTTTAACTTTCTTCTTTGGTAAAAAATAGTTAAAACCTCGTCTGGACTCGTCTACTTATAAACTTTCACAATAAAATTCTAGAACTTTTTCAAATACTCTAATTATAGAAAGATTACAAAAATATATGCTTTAGAAAGGCTTAAAGGCTTAAAGGTCCTCGTCTCAGAACCTAAAGGTCTCTATTATGGAAAAACGTTGGCCTGGCGAGGAGGGTGAGCCTACCATCACAAAAGGATTGTTGGCCCGGCTAGGTGGGTCCCCCTTCTAACCGGGCGAATCTTTTTGTTTCGGCTCGCCACGTTGTGTAAGGAAATCAGTGGCTCGCTGAGGGTAGCTTGTGTAGGCGGTGATCCTTCAACCCGGGTAAACTTTTCTTCATATAGAGTAAACAGGGCCTAATGAGTGTGTTAACAGGTTTCTCTGTTTCTCTCCATCAGATGCTTTCAGAAGTACTTCCAATCCTCCAGAAAACAGTTCCTTGCCTCTTGGGTAAGAGAAACGTTGCTGATGGGTACTACATGTATGATATTACGCACAGAGTAATTTTTAGGAGTCCCTCATCCCTAATCACTTATTAAAAGTCCTGTCAGTGGAAAATTAGCCCTCTGGCGCCCCTCATTCCCCCTTCCCCTTTTCATCTTTAAAAGCCTGCCGCTGAGTCTTCACTGTAACTGCAAGGATCCTCCCTACAGCTATTTCTTCATTCCGCGGTTTAGTTAGATGAAATTCTTATACACAGTGATTTTGTTACAAATAGTTAGGGTGAGTCCTGAGACTCATCTTGTGAAACATCATGAGTCCCAGTCTAGAACCAGTGAGTTCCAAAAAAGGAAATCTGAAATTGAAAATGCTTGGGCCTATATTTGACCAGACAGATAAAAGACATTCTTTTGTAACGGACAACAAGTCGAAGACTAAAAGAAATGTGCGTTGTTAAACAACAGCCGCAGAAATCTCACGAACAGGATATTCTACAAAACATCTTCGGATCCAGGGGGTTCATTAAGGTTTTGAACAGGAAGGCAATTGAGTTTGACACCCGGGCAAAGAATTGGCAAGGCCCGGAGGGCCTTGCTCCCAGGGGGGGTCTGGGGGCATATTCCCCCGGAAAATTTTGAAATTCTATAGTCGCAGGGATGTGTTTTCCTGCATTTTGAAGCTGCAGACAATGACTTTCAACAACCAAAAAAAGATAACTTTTCTAGACAATTTAATCATGATTTGAATCACAAAAGTATTAGTTTAACAACTTATCTTTAAAATTTCAATGACTAGACGGGAGGAGCACTGTTTTAACGTGAACGCACCGAAAATTAATTCATTGGCGTAAACCATAAAACGAAAACAAATGACGCTTCGCTTCGTTGAACATGATAATTGGGCCATTCAATATATACAGGCAAGTAAAAGGTTAAATCACAAAGAAGTCTACTCACCTCTTGGCCTTTTCTCTACTGGAGGCCCTTTAGTTGAAGCCCAAAAATAATCTGCTATCGAACGCGTTCTTTTCTGGGCCGCCATGCTCACGTGCTCGCAACACTGATACATTTCAGGTGGTCGTTTATGAAGGACAGTTCTTTTCATTATGTGTTATCGGGCGATTCTTCTTTTTAACACATAACGAACGAGGGGATTTCATGCCGCGTGTAATAAAGTGGAAATTGCACGGCAAAGTATGTTTTACACTCGATTAGACTCATCAAGAAAAGGGCACCATTGTAACTTAAAACTGTTTTTGATCGTTCCTTGTATTAAAAAGAAGTTCTTTGAGATGTAAAGCAGCCGGGCAAAGTCGTGTTCACAGCCGGTCAATTTGCCCAGTGCCCGGCCCTTAATGAACCCCCTGCAGATCGATCGATCTTTGCTTCCTACGGGACACATTCCATGAACTTTTGTGCGTCTTTGGCGATTTCTATGCGTTGGGGACGCTGGAATCAGAGGTAACAAAATCACTGGTATTATACATATAATTATTATTTCATTCGTGTTTGTATTAACTCTCTAAGCCTCCTAAATTAAAATACATATAAGTTCTCCACACTGGCATCCACAAATTGCCTTAAAAAATTAGTTGAAAGAATTGGTAAGAAGATCAAAGCTATTTTTCCTTTAGTGATTATCTATTAATTCTCTTAACCTTTCTACTTGATTATGTATTGACGTGGTGAGGAGAAAATAATTGTTGGTCGCTCTTGGAACATAAATGGTTGAGACGAGTTGTTTTTTGTTTTTCAGTACTTCTTTTACTTTCAATTGCCATACCTTCCTGAGTTTACGATTGAGATGAATGACTTCAAGATGTTAAGCAGGGCTTTTAAGGTGATTCCTTAGTAAAAAAACCTAACATAGATTGTAGAAGAAACTTGGTACACTGATGTAACAAGTCAAGAAGATGACAAAAAAAGTAATAAAAAGTGGTGGTCACCCGTCACCTTGCTCGTTTTGACGTCACATTGCTGACAAATACCGCTATTTAGAACCCTTTGGCAAAACCGCGCGTAGCCCAAAAAAAACTAGACAAAAATTAAGGAGAGAGTTTTCGATGATGCATGTGGTATCGCACAGAATTTGATTTAAATGTATTATTTATCCACTTACGTACCAGAAATTAAAATGCCTTTTTATGCTACTGTTTTTACTTTACGCTCCAAAGTAGACTTAATTTGGACACGCTGTATTCGACCTGTAAAAGCTCAATCCGTACAATTTAGTAAAATTGCGAAAAAACTGAACATAGATTTATGCCAATTTTTTTATCTTTGAAAGGAAGCACTGTTCTTATTAAAATCGTGAAATAAAAAAATGGGGGTCACCGTACTCGTTTTTGCGGTAGAGCAGCATGCGCAGAAAGTGCGCGCCACATGCGTTTCCTCCGATTTTTGAGAGAGGACTGGGGCGAATTTCAAAGTGGCATGTATGTGAAAGGGGGAAGAAAGCATTAAAAAATCCGTTTTTCCAGAATTTACATCGAGATATCACAGTTAGGACGCTATGAAAGTCAAAGTGAGATAGCACAAGTTTAACGTCCACTATCGGGGTTCTCCCTAAGAAAGTCGAACTCAGCAACATGCGTACTGCTTACGTTATGCACATTCCCAACACATCGAGTCTCCTCTCGGCAAGAAACAACTGCAACCGAAAATTCTAAAAGCGTTTCTTTTTAGCCAACTTCATTTTAATAATGTTACTTTGGATGCTCTTGTTATGCGCAGTTAGAGATACGCAGTGCAAAACCAGCGAATCACCTTAAGGTGCTATACTGTGCAAAATTGGGGACCTTGGACACCATAAGGGAAACGGATCTTTATGAAGTACAGCCTCGTTCTTTTGAGCCTCGTCGCGATTACTCTAGGTTGAGTTTCCGTGGATTCGAATTCTTAGGCCCGCACATAAACGTTAGCCTGCGTGAGCATCCGGTTTTTTCGGCCCTAGTTTTGAAACTAGAAACTAGAGCCGAAAAAACCGGATGCTCTCGCAGGCTAATAGACGTCGGTGTCGTATTTTTCACCCTTTTTCTAACAGCACGAAATGTATTTAAAAGTGTGTTGCATGTCCAAAGTTACTTATAAAATAACAATTAATACGGGCAACATTTTCGTTCAACTTGTTGTGCAGCATTGTTGTTTGTCAGATTAAAAATCGTCATTGCCTGTTGATATCGCCTCTTGCTTGCTCAGCTTGTTACCGAACTGATATTAGTGTTGCAAGTTGCGGTTACATGTTGCAGAACACTGAGGTTAGACCCGAATTAGTTCTACTTTTTCGGCGCGCATCACTGCGCCTTTGTTTTTTTGATGTACTTGTTTTCGCCGTCGTGGTGATTTCCTTAAGCTGTTATCATAGATTTCCTAGTTACCTTGGTTGAACTGAGAGCTAGAAACTATCACATTTGTTCTTTTGTTTTCACAAGGACGTGGGTTTCACAGATGAAGATGTGGAAGCTTACAAGTACGCTTTGAGTCAGAATGGTCTTAGTGGTCCTTTGAACTATTACAGGAATGCACTGTTATCTTCTGATCGACCTCGGGGACTGTTTAACACCAAGATAAAGGCCCCAACTCTTGTTTTGTGGGTAAGCATATAACGTCAAACCCAAAGCCCCAGGAACTTCGTTGCTGCCATTGCCTTAAGGTTGGTACACACTAGGTGACAAGTTGCAGCAACATGTTGCGACGACACGTCGCAGCGACAAATCGCTTCGTGTGTACTGGAGAATTTTTGTGAAAATCTTTGTCTCTGCAACAGAATTTTGTCGCAGCAACATGTTGCAAAAACTCAAATCAGACAGAATTTGTGCGGCTTGTTGCGGCGACAAAATTCTGTTGCAGAGACGAAGATTTTTACAAAATTTCTCCAGTACACACGAAGCGATTTGACGGTGCGTTGTGTCGCCGCAACATGTTGCTGCAACTAGTCGCCGGATCTGTACACATTGAGTGATCTGTAGCCGCGACTTGTTGCCGCGACTTGTTGCCGCAACTTGTCGCCTAGTGTTAAACGACACGTCGCTGCAACACTTCGCGGCAACAAATCACTCCGTGTGTACAGGTCGGGCGATAACTTGCTGCAACAAGTTGAGTGACTCGTCGCGGCGACAAATCGCTTCGTGTGTACTGGTGAATTCATGTGCAAATCTTTGTCTTAGCAGGCAACAAGTCGCACAAATTCAGTCTGATTTGCTTTCGTGAAACTTTTTTCGGCGACAAAATTCTCCAGTACACACGGAGCGATTTGTCGTCGCCGCAACGTGTTGCTGCAACTTGTCACCTAGTGTGTTCCGACCTTAAGGATGCTGGGAAGCAATCTCGTTCCCAGGGAGTCTCTTCTTTCCGGGAACAAGGCTGGCTAAGAAGAGGCGAGAAAAGAAAGCACGCGGGGGACGATGGGAAGGGGAGATAAAAAATAGACACGTTTCTCGTTTTGTCATCCAGAGGCAGGAGCTGGAGATTTAAAGATTATTTTGTTTTATCCTTCTTGAATTACATGTATTAACGAGTTTTTTGAAAAATCATTTTTAGGGCACGGCAGATAAGGCACTCACTGTTGATACCTTGGAAGGAACAGAGGAATATGTTGAAGATCTGACAATCAAGTAAAGAAATCATTTTGTAATCTCTGTGAGAAATGTTTTATTAAAGGGGCTGTGTCACGGCAGTCCACTTCATTTTGTTTAATTTTGCCAATTACTCGCCCTCAATCGCTAAGGAACTTAAAGTAAGTAAAGAAATTTCATGTAAATGACAAAATCAGAAATGCGAGACAAACAAATATGTCTCCTGAGCATTATTTTTGAAGTTGCAAACAGCAGAGATCAGCTTTAAAAACTGTTAGGCTGAGCAGTTTTCGAAAACCCTAATTTCAATCCGTTTCAATCTTCTTCAGTTTTGCCCATCCGTGGCATCTTTTGTGTTATTTTAACCTTCCTTTAATGTTTTAAGCGGTTGTTTTTACGTTTCTCTAATTTAACTGGCATCTTGTAATTACCTAATTTGGCTGAATTTCGTGACACAGCTCCTTTAAGTATGCAATATTGATCAAACATGAGCTAAGGATGGCTTATTATTATGCATTAAAAATATTTCTCCGTTTCTGATTGGCGGAAATCACACGTATAATTTATCATTACCAGCTACTGTTGACTGAATTTGAAAGAAATTGCCAAATTGAACCGACGATGTCAAAAAGTGCAGCGAAGTTCCAGATTATTGTTCCGTTTACCGAGAAGACCTGGGGAGGATTTTGAGTTGTCTCGAAGTGAGTAATGGCGAAGTGAGAAATGGCGGAACATTTTACTCGTTTCACGGCGAACGGTTGTCTAAAAACATAGCAAGAACAGCAAGAAGACAACTCGACGGACGACATCTTCTATTTGGAATATATTTGCAGACCTTAACAGCCCTTTATCTCACAAACTTCCCGATAAAGATGCACTATCGATATGAACTTAACGTCGACGGAGGTGAGCATGTTTTAGCTTTTTTTTAAACTTGGAATTATTTTGAATGAATAACAAAGCAATTATTGATTTGGCTTTCGTAGGATATGAAGAATTGGGCAGTGATTTATCTGGCGGATAACGCTATCAAACTTTTGAACAACTGGGGCGAGCAATCTTTATCCAGTGGATAGCGCAACGGTTTCCCTTACACTTATGCATTTAATAGTGATTTATCCAGTGAATGGCTATATCCAACTTTTGAAAACGGGGGCCTTACCTGCAACTAGTGGAACTACCTGATAGTCTTCCCAACTTACTTACCGACCAACCAAGCCAAAGGATGAACTGCTGACCGACTAAAAGCTCAATCAACCTGCAGACGACTCCAATAAACAGACGTACTCGGATTGACGACCAACTTACTGACTGAAGTTTAATCGAGCTTTTTTGAGAAATTTTCTTCCAACGAGACTTGAGGCAGTGAAATTTTGAGCCATTGAACTTTTGGTATTAAAAAAATGGTTGACTAATTGATTGATTTGTTATATTAATCTTGCATAATATTTCAACAGGTATGTCGATGGAGCAAGTCACTGGGTTCAGATGCATGAACCGGAAGTCGTGAATCAGCACATCCGGGACTTTTTAGCTGCTCACCCAAACTAAAGTCGCCAGTCGGGAGCTTGAGCAACGGCGACGGCAATGAGAACGGCAAGAAAGCAGTAGGCTTAGATTAGAAAAACAACATTTTGTTTGCATTTCTTTGCCGTCTTTGCACAACTACGGCGTGAAACTTCCTATAATTTTTATAGTTTTACGTAGATCGTCAGACACGAGACAACGACTTTCTCTTTCTTTTTCTGAACTTAGATACAGTCCTTTAGAATTTAACTCCAGAAGAAATCTGCATCATATGGTAAATTGAACGAGATGAAATACGAGCGATAGGAAGGAGGCCTTGTGCCTCGCTTCTGTGACTTACATGACCCGTGACATAAATGACACTTTCGTGACAAATCACCCGGATGACAGGAAAACCCTCCTTTGCCAGTAGCTGGAGAAATACAATAATGATCAGTCACATTCAGAATAAAACCATTTATTTCTTTCAGAAATAAATGTCATTTGATTAACGTTTTCGTTCTGGTTGCCGTCTCGGTTGCTCAAGCCCCCTAGTAAGAGAACGGTTCTATTAAAAGCATTCCACCATAATGCAAATCGAGTGAAAACTTGTAGAAATTGGTCTGCAACGAACGTGACCGTGGCCACCCATTGTTAATCGGCCAGTCATAGGCCTCCTTGGCAACAAAGGGGCCTGCTTTTGTTAGTTAGCTAACCAATAAAAAACGAGAACATCTCTTTAAAGTTCATAATGTCGGTAGTCCCGGTTGAGCTCATTGCATTGTCTTGAGTCATAGAAATGAGACGTGATTATTCTTTGAAGAGTATATTGTAATTTATCGTGGACCAATAAAAATGCAACCAATAAGGATTATATATGTACTTGTATGTTTGATACCTATAACCAAACGTATGTGTAGTAGCATGTATAGCACAAATCCAGACTCGTACCCAGTCGCTATGTAAGTGTTTTTTGGGGTGAGAGAAGATTGGGGACTAGGTTGAGGCGCGTGCGGGGTCTCATTGAAAGGGAAGAAATAGAGAATACTTCATGGAAAGTGCTGGCGTACGGTATTTACGCACGAGTTGTTGACGTATCAGAAATCGAACGAGTGAGCGCAGCGAACGAGTAAGATTTCTGATACAAAAACAACGAGTGCGTAAATACCGTACAAAGCACTTTCCATGTGGTATTGTGTTTATTATATACATACTGAGACATTCATCATTTTGGCGACCTTTTTATTTTAAATCTTTCAAAAATGCTAAAATTTGCCGCTACACACTTACCGCAAAATGACAACGAAAACGAAGTATCAGCTTTTTGGTAAAAACGTTTGTTAAAAACATAAATGACGGTAAGGATATCGGGTAATCCAAGAACTATAAGTAATCTTAACTGTTTGTTCTCAATGCACAATTGAAAATGAGTGAATTTAAGTAAAATGGCCGGTTTCAATATAAGCTTAAGCTTAAATGACGGCAAAGTAGCTCCGACAAAAAGCACAACAAAAGCTTACGTCTCGTTCTGTTTTTCCCTTTCCGCTGTTGTTTCGCCGGCTGTCTACCGTTTTCTTTATCGACAGTGAAACAAACGAAACTATTCCACTCCATTTCCGAAATGTTTTTCACTTTGTTAGTGAGAAAAACTCTTTGAGTAAAACTTTTCTCGTTGAATGTGTGCGAAGCGCGCGGCGCTGCAAGCTGCAATAAAAGGCGGGAATTTTGGCGCGAAACTCACACACCTCTGTGGCTTCTAATTGGACGTATCATTTTTCTCACACGTGAAAAAACATCGTTCGCGATTCTGATTGGACGTATCATTTTTTTCACGTGTGAAAACCATCGTTCGCTCCTCTGATTGGCTAGAACTCATTTGCGTACGAAAATTTACGACATAGCTTTTTGGTGAGTATTTCTCAGTATGTATATAATAAGGAAAAATTCCCGCGCGCTCCTCAACCTAACCCCCAATCTTCTCTCACCCCCAAAACACATAAATAGCGACTGGGCACGAGTCTGGCACAAATCAGTTAACCCAAGCGACTGAAGCGAGCCCAACCTTTTCTTGTATTGGTTGACTGTTTGTTTCATTAAAAAGAATCAATGTATATGTCCACGCAATTCATTCTGGGTGATCCATCCGCCATTTTGCCTTTTTTCAACGGAGAACCAGCATATACGCCAACCCCGTCCCCAGGGTCTTCTCGCTTTCAGCACTTCCCCATTTCCCATAACGCACCTTACTTCCCCCCCCCCCCCCACCTCCAAAAAAAGTTTGCATAAGTATTGTTTTCAGTTTCTCTTGGGACGGTTGTAATACTCAGGAGAAATGAAAAACAAAGGTTATACAAAATTTTGGGGGGGATAAGGTGCGTTATGGGAAATGTGGAAGTGACGTATTTTACCATTGGGCTGTGCCACAGGTTGCCCATACAATAATAATAGGAGACTTGTGCATGTTCACCACAAAAACCTTGTCGGTTTTTTTAGATGAAAATCTTGGTCCTGCATGTATTTTGACAGTCGAAATAATTTAAGATTATGAAGTTCTCCGAATAATAAAGTCAATAAAGCGGTTGGATTTATGGAAGAAACTTTTGGGTTTGTGGAAGAAACTGTGGCATTTTGGGACATCTCCATTGTGCTTCAAAATTTTGCCTTATCGTAAATGACCTAATAAACGCCCACCTCTGAATATCTAATAAATTCTCCTCTCTACGCTGTTGGCATTGTATTAGACAGCCCTCTCTAATAAACGCCCCCTGTCTAATAGACACCCTCTACGAGAATTTCTCCAGTTCCTTGCTTGATTAATAAGGCATTGCGTGTTTTATCTTGTTCAATTTCAAAGTTAAAGTAAGGAGAAACTAACGATGGCAACACAATAACCCTGAGCGAGGATTCTGACATCGATGTTGGGATTTGAAAGAGCGATATGGATCTCTTGAGGGCCTAGACGTATTAACTCATGGAACGGATATTCCTCTTTTTTGACTCTCTGGATATTTCTGCCGAAAGCATATAAGTTCTTTTGAGCTTGTTACGGTTATGAGAACAAACGCCTCTCTTTTTAAAATGCTTCCTTTCTATTACCCACCCCCCTCCCTCCTCCCCCCTCCCCCCAACCCCTGCTTGAACCCCTTAAATTCAGAAGCCCCAGGTGTTTAGTTTATTAGGTCAGTTACGGTGAGCCATTTTTCCAATTTTTTCCTGTGACGCGCTTCGGACTTGAACGGGCGTAGCTACCGAGGGAGCCATCGTCTAGACTTGCACTACATACGGCTCTTGGTATATGATGGCAAACAAATTGATTAGGGCTCTGTTCGTATACAGTTTGGCTTTGATTTATGGCTTTATGGTATGTTTAGTTATATTGTTGAGAGCTATTTGGAACCTTGAAATACCGACAAGGGGAAAGCGACGAGAAAAACGTAAGTATCAATCGGTGAATTTGCACCGGTTCAGCGAACCTGATCTGTTGTGCAGTATTGTACGTGTATATCTGATGTCAATTCGGTCAGGTTTTTGCGTTTAGTAGTGCTCACTACAGCAGGGACCCTTCGAACTATTAGCTTTACATCAATTTATGCGAAATTCAAGCTGCTGGCTAATTTGCTTCCCCTTCCGGCGGTCCTGTGGCTGTGGAATCGACTTGTAAGCGAAACGACCCGTTTCCTGTGGCAGCTGTCCTCATTTAAGAGGTACGAAGAAAGGAAAACGCGCGACCTAGCTGTCAGCTAAGCTCACGTTCTTTTGCTTGTTGAACGTTGTATATTAAAATATACAAAGTTAAAAAAAATGGAATGACCCTCACGCGATACAAACTGCTTATCTACAAAATACAGGGCAATTTTCTAAGTATATTCCTTTGGGCGGTACCCTGCGAGCAGAGGGTTCGCATGGCTTTTAGCGTTTACCAAGTCAGTGGCGTAGTAGGTTTGTTTACGCGCTGAAAACCTCTGCAGCGAGCCGCTTGTTATTTGCGTTGTGCATGTGTTACGAGTTAGCGAGAAGAGGAATATTTAGTTCGCTGACTAAACGTAAGGAACGCAGCAGGGTTTTCGGAACAGTGACAGACAGGATGAGTTATAGTTATTCCAAAAATGAACGTGGCATCACAACGGCATCTCTACGACATAACTCACAACTCTGGACTTGTAAACAATGAACACGGCCTCCGCCAAAAACTGAACCCACGAACCTGATCGAAACGAGTGTTCTTGTTTATATGCGAAGTCGAGTTCTAGAACGTTCGAACAGGTCTAATAATAGTACGCTCACTGAGCTCCTAAAATAAACAATCTGAGAATAGTCATGCAATGTCACGCTAGTCACGGTAGACAATTTTTCGCAACATAACCCCCTCTTGAGAAGAACTTCCTAAATTTCTAATTATACAACAGAAAAATTGTTAAATTGATGGCTTCTACCTTGAAATTGTACCTTTGTAGGAACATCACCCATCGCATGAGTTGTGCATTAGCATATCTTGCGCTGTCCATTTACTTTAAGTATTTAACGGTTAGTGGACTGTCTGCAACACATATGGTACTCCATACGAGTATAAATGAAATCTCTTGATTCCCCACATAATCACAATTAAGTCACTCTTTCTCGATTGTACATGTAGAGTCGTTGCACATCGCGCTTAACAATTTCTTGCTGGCTAATGACTGTAAAGGAGTTGATGTTTTCATGATCATTTCTGTACAGCTCCTTCATGCCTTCTTGACCCTGAGCTTGGTGAACACCATTTCCTGAGAACAGCATCAAATATCAGGATCCATTATGTTGCTAAAGGAGACACAGGCAAACCACTTATGCTGTGTCTTCATGGGTTCCCTGAGGTAATGTTAACAATGCTGTTTCTGTTTGTTTTCACAGCCTCTGCATCCATAGATGTTTAATAAATGTACATTAAAACTACCAAAAAGTTAAAAAAGGTGACTTGCCATTTCAGGTCTATACTAGCTAGCCTGCACCACAAAACAAATGAATCAAAACTTTGGTTAAGTCTGTCTGTGAAACAGCACCAAAGTCTTTGTTCTGGGTTCCACACCAGGATTTGAGTACACGACATGATAATGGCCTGTTGAAAAAGTCATTGTAGATTTGCCAATCCGAGTATGAAAGAAAATTTGAAACACGTTTCTGAAACTTTGTAGAGTCTGTTGGGGGCACAGAACATTAGGATCTGGGTGCTGCTTTGCAGACATTACTAACTGAGGTTGAATTGCATCTGCATGGCACAGGCTTACAGGTCTACAGCTACAAGGGTTTACTTGTTACGATGTATAACAGATTTAAATAGGATATGAGTTAGTGAGCAAATTGCTTAATAGACACTGTAAATTAATATTAATATACTGGCCTTAAGAACCACTGACCCTGTTTTTCTG